GGGGGGGGGGGGCAGTGCCACTGACTGCAGTGTCTTTAGGCCATTCCCAAAGGGGGGACATTTATCGTACAAGCACAGTAGAAATGTAAATGGGCTGATTCATCAATGTAAATGGGCTGACCCATGTCACGCTCATAACTGCCTGATCTACAACAGGGAACTGCTGCTTTTTCTTTCCTAATCCTTACTATTGTCATTTTCCTCTACTTCTTTTATGTTTGTCACTCTCTTGTGACCTGCTATTTCCGGGGTGCCTTGATAGTCGAAGCAGACTTTGTGTTGTTGAAGCTAGAGAGGTGAGCAGAGTAAGTCTGATTCCCTGTAAAGACTTCTCTGTCGACACCCACCCCTAGGCGTTCATATGATCTTATGCAGTTGCGAGCGCCGTAAAACCCTCGACTATTAAAAAAAAAATTCTTCTCAGATAAAAACCACATAGTGCTTCACGGTCACTAATATAACAAGAAGAGTTTTAGTTTTAGTAAGACAAGCTTCTGCGTTTGTTGCCATTTTTTGTACAAAAGTTGTCAAAAGTTGCCACAAAAAGTGGCAAAAGTTGACAAAAAAGTTGCCATTAATGTTCAAGCTTTCAACTCTCTGTGACGACGTATATATAGCAATATGTTGATAGAGGTAACAATCTATAGCACCAGAATTTCTTGTGCTGTTTTAATTTTAAGCATCCAGAATATCATTTGTAGTCACCCACAGGGTAAAAACGTGAAAATAAAGATTTCACATTAGAATGAAATCAAAATTAGAACAGCACAGATAAATAACCACAAAAATTTACAAATTAAGGCGTGCGTCCACCTATACGAAGATTGGCCGTTTTAACCCTAAACGAGCGTAATTCAAGAAAAAGTACAGGATATTACCAGTAAACACTGGAATAACACATAAGGGGCCTGTGTCAGTACATGTCTGTCCCTGTGGTTTTATGCAAGAAAAATTATGAAATTATGCAAAATGAGCCCAAAAATGTGAAATTATGCGATTTTGTTAATTTTAATAAAGAATGATATAGGGAAATTAAATAATCAGAAATTATGCAAAAAATGGTCAAATTTTGCTAAATTATGCGAGGTGCATAAAACCACGGGGACAGACATGTGTTCGGTTTTGGTGGAGACACGCTCTAACATAACACACATAAAAAGGTAGGAACAACAAATTAAATTACATTTACGCTATATA